ATTTTGTTAAGGAAAAATGACTGGAAAAGTGTTAAGAATTCAAAAACATGAAGTGTTTCTGAATGGTCATGTTCGGAACATAAAGAGTAGTTTAAAACCACAATTAATGGTCTGGTTTCTACAACTTTCACTTAGGAGCAATAATCTGCCTTTAAACTTGAAAGAAATAAAGATTTGAAATTTGTGATAATTATTGATATCGACTGATATGGCAATATTTTGGCCCAATAAACAAACAAACAAACAAACACACACATACATACATACATAAATATTTCCTGGGATTTTGACCAATGAGATTTCCAAAAAAAACAACAAAAAACCCCCCCTACAAATAAGCAAAACAAAATATAAAAACAACAAAAAAAAAAGACAAGAAAATATATACGTTTAATATACTCTCATTTGACCAATGACATTTCAAAATAAAAAAGAAATATAAACAAAACCAAATAAAATAAAGCAAATAAAATGAAAAAGTAATATTACAAATATAAATTATATATACATAAATAATATAATAAAATATAAAATGAAAAATAAATAAATAAATAAATAAAAATTAACCACCCAACCACTGAATGTCACGCGATCACAGTATACGAGAACATATTTGATGTTTAATATACTGGGATTTTGACCAATGAGATTTCAAAATAAAATTTAAAAATAAATATAGAACAATTTGCCCTTCCAACCATTAAACGTTGCGTGAACACAGCCAATGAGAACATACTTTGTTTAATATACACAGATTTTGACCAATGAGATTTCCTATGAGCTTTAAACTACCAATGTATAAAAAGACTTCTCCTTTAATGTTCCATGTAAAAAATTGCAGCATACAAGTTCAGAACGACATGAGGGCAAGTAAACTGACAAATTTCATTTCTGGGTGAAATATCCCTGTAAGAGACACACTACACTGAAAATCATGTTGTGTATTATGGTTCTCAGGAGCGCTGCTCAGAGCAAACGTTTGCACTGAGTTTTTCTTCAACACAAACAGCTGTGATACTGTGGAAAAACAACAGGATTGTTCGCTCACAGAATGCACCCGCTCGCATGTGCAATCTCCCGTTTCAGAAGCTTGCCAGGGAAGATCCTATATCTCCTCAGCAAACATCTCACTTAAAATGGCATATTTCACAATGATCGCATAACTATACTCCTGCTGCTTCCACATTGAGGGTTGACAAATTACATGATATTCGCAGCCATCGCAATGGCAGGCTACACTCTACGTGTGGGACTGTAGGTTAACCTCGACTCGCTCCGTCATATGATGTACTTTTCCGTTTAAAAACAATAAATAGTGCTGCCAAGAGAGACAGCTCAGCCAAACTTAATAAAAAATAACCTCAGACGACGCAGAACAGATACAAGCTTATGTTACAAAATACACAAACTCGAACGGAACATTTCATTTTCCCTTTTCAGCAGCAACAGGGAATCACAAGCACAGATCAACAGGCTCTCCAGTGACAGAGGACAGTATGAACGATCCTTTCTCTGTGAAAAAAGAACGACTGGGACGGTGATGACCTTACCTTGAGGTCTCTGTAGACGACAAATCGATTGTGCATGTGTTCGAGGCCCAGTATGATCTCAGCTGCATAAAAACGCATATCCTTCTCACTGAAGACGCCGTGCTGAGATAGGTGATAGTGAAGGTCTCCACCTGAAAGACACAAGTACAATCAAATTATTACACTGTTTTATAAATGTATATGACCAGTCAATAGAATATAAATTGCAATAAATTTCATGAATCAGTTATTTTAAACCTTGCAACCAATTAATTTCATTACTATTTAAGTTGTTTGTAAGGAGATTTCTTAAAAACATCTCAAATATAGTAAAATAAAAGAAACCATAATAAAATAAAACAAAGTAACAGCTACTGAAGAAATCCCTGAAATCACCAGCGAATCTGTTGAGAAACCTGATGATTTCTTCTTGATTAAATTCACATTTTGAATTTACTGAAACTTGCCCAACAGCTTTTTTTGAGGAATGACATTTATATTTAATTGCAGTTTGCAAAACACTTATCCCCTCTAATTATGTTTCAAATAATAGGTCAGTTAGGGATCTTCTAGTCTACCCAGTAAGAGTAGTTTGATGGAGAGACGTCACATGAACAGCCACTTGAAAATTGGACATTTCTGAGAAAATGTAACAGGGGTTATTACTAATGTACTCATCATTGTCTAAACGCTTTTGTAGAGTATGTTCCTCTGTTTCTGAAGACCTGCGTAAGTGATATGATTGTTTCACAAATCCAGAAGGACGTTCAGAGAAGTGGCCCATGCTGCAGCACAGATACAGGAAGTGTGAGTGTGTCTGAAGAGGAAGCTCCGCCCCATATTCAAGCTGACATTAAGTTATAGAGGAAGGCCAAATTTAGAACCCTAAATAGGCTTTTACAATCTCAAACTGGGTAGTGTTGGCTTGGATCTCTGAGATTTGAGGATGTTCATGGTATTCACACCAAATTCAAATTTTCAGCAAAAAAAATCTACTTCAAAACATAAAAAAACTACAATAGTATTTCAATGTCATGAACGAGTCAAAAACAAACTGCTGATTTTTTTGGTCTTTTGGGTGCCAAAAAATTAATGTATTTGAAGCTTTAGCACTAGGCACTAAACTAAAAACTAACTATTTTTGTGATGTGTATTCACACTGTGTGAACAAGCCTATAGCAGGCCGAAGAGATGATGGTTGTTGCCCTTACCATTCATCAAGTCCAGGATGAAACACAATTTATCAGGAGTGTGGAAGGCATATGTCATACACACTATGAAAGGGCAATCCTGCAGAGAGAGAAAGATATAGAGAGGGTCAAACAAGCGAGACAGGGATGTTAGTGTGCAGTCTGAGTTTGTGTATGTCACTCACCCCGGTGCTGACCAACGACAGCATGATTCTCTCGTTGAGTGCCAGCGTTTCTCCCTGCTTCATTTTGATCCGCTTTTTATCCAAACACTTCATGGCATACCTGAGACACACACAGTAAGTGAGCAGATGCTTTTTTGTGAACACAAATTTGGCTTGTTTTTGGTTTAATCCTTACAACAGCACTTACATTTTCCCTGTGTCTGCCTTCCTGCAACCATATACCTCACCAAACCCCCCTCTGCCGATGATCCGATGCACGCTGAAGTCATTCATCGTCAACTATTTGCAAAACCGAGAGCAACATTAAAGAAAACCAGTTTATAAAGGAAAATAAACAACTTACAGCTGAATTAAAAGCACCAAATATAAGGAAAAACTCACATGGATGTTGAGCTCTACATTCTTCCACTGGCAAAACCGTGTGAACTTGTCACTATAGGGAGAAGCAAAAGGATTTAAAGATGTTAAAATCATTCTCAAGCAAAAAAAAAGTGTAAAAGTATGCTTTTTTGTAGCTGTCCACGTCACCTTTCAATGAATTTCTGAAAGATCTTTCCTCGAAGACTATCACAGATTTCAACTATATATGGCTAGAAAAAGGAAAGCAAACAAATGCATCAGGATCTGTTGGGAGTCCTGCTACCTAAACACTTTACTTCCTTTGTGTTTCATGCACAAAAGCCAACCAGCACCCGGAAAAACAGGTTAGATTTTATTTCATGTTAGGGGACTTACCTGAAAGAGATTTGGAGGAACTTGTTTCTTTGCTAGGTGAGTCTGGACATGGTCTACTGCCTTCTTAGAGAAGGGCTGTGAGAAAGGAAGGTAGATTAAGTGGCATTTTGCGATAAGGGAGGTCAAAACACTAAAACAACAAGAACTGTTCCCCCTGAACAAACGTCAAGCTTCGACATTAACCTCCTAAGCATTCCCGGTTATCACAACATAAAACACTGTGACATAATCGCACAGGCCTTGAGTGTCCTATAGGCCATTGTGTTGCTTCATTCAGGCTTCCTGTTTCTGAAAAGCTCCGACTGGAGTCTGACGGAGCCTAATGGGACACTTGTTTTCTCAACAGAAACATCTGAATGGAGTCTCCGGATCTTCAATGGACAATAAGAACCATAGTCCCTCCTATATTTTTATATTTTAAAAAAATAGATATTAAAAAAAAGTTTTTGTAAAAAAAAATATTTGTAATGTGGTGTATATATATATATATATATATATATATATATATATATATATATATAGAG